GGGTAGGGAGGAAGGCAAACATTCCACTGACCTGTTCCCTGTGGGGCAGCAGCAGGCAAAGGGCTCTGTGCAGATCAGCAGCGCTTCCTGGTCCCTCTTGCTCCTTTGGGATCCATGTCCTAAAGCGGCTCCTGCCAGGTCAGGGAGATGAAGGAGAAAGTGCCCAGATCACCAGGAGCTCCCCATTCCCATCCTGCTGGCTCCTCTCTGTGCCCTGCCCTGGTGTTGCTCCCCAAGGCTTGGTGGGGTCATAGGGCAGTCGGAAGTTATTTTACAACTTCAGCTACGTCAGAGCTCTACTCCCCCAGAGTAATGTATATTGATTTTTTTTTTCTTTGCCAAAAAGGAATTGCCTTTTGTCTAAAATCCAAATGAAGAACTTTGCAAATGGCTCCTCATTTTATTCTGATTAGAAACATTCCTTCCCTGTGCAATTACCCATTCTCCAACTGCCTTCTCTCTACCATTCCTCAGAACTCTTGCCTGAGGGGTCATTGTCCCTCCAGCAGCAGAGGGATACTGGTGGTGCTGGTGGCACTGGAATGCTGCTGGCAGTGCTGGCAGTGCTGGTGAAGAGTCTGGCTGCTTGTCAGAAACTGCTTCTATTCTGGGAAGAGCTGCAGAACCATTGCCAAAGCTAGCCCTGTGCCCAACAACGCAAAACTGAGGCAAGAATTCCCATTTTTGCATTCTCCCCCAGGCTTGCACAGCTCAAGGGCAGGACAGCACTCAGTGGCTTGTAGCCAGGCTATCAGCACTTGGAGCCCACCCTAATTACTGCCAATCCCCTTGATGATGCAATGAAAGCTATCAGGGACCAGGGTGCTGTGAACTCCCTGCCAGCCCTTCACCAGAGCTGCTCCTGCTCCTCCTCACTCCTGGGAACACTTGGGGTCATTTGTGACACCTGATCCCAGACTGTCCCTTTGCCAGCAGAGATAACTGCCACTATAACAGATTGCTCCAAACCCCATCCAGCCTGGCCTTAGTGACTTTCAGGGATCCAGGGACAGCCAAAGCCTCACAAGGCAGCCTGTTCCAGGGCCTCAGCACCCTCACAGGGAAGGATTTCTTCCCAATATCCAATCTGACCGCACCCTCTGTCAGTGGGAAACCATTCCCTCTTTTCCTGTCACTCAATGCCCTTGTCCAAAGTCTATCTTCACCTCTCCTGGACCCCAACAGCTCCTGGATCACGAAGTTTTTGCACTTGAAAGGATTGGGCTGGTGAGGGGATGTGAGAGTCCACAGCTGGGGACAGAAACACAGTGTCAGCAGGAAGAGAGGTGACAGTTCTGGTCCCAGGGCCAGCAGTTTCCAGGAGGAGCATCCCAGATCCCTGAGGCACATGTCAGCTTTCTGGGAATTCCTTGGAATTCACTGTAGGCTGCTGCCTGACTGCAAAGGGAGTGTAGAGGATGACTCAAAGGAAACCTGCAACTTTCTAAAGATTAAAGCCAAGAGAGCTGCATGGATTTGCCTCTTCTCAGAAGAAATGCCATTGCTGAAATCCGAACTCATCCCTCTGCTGTGTTCCAGTGCTCCAGCTGAGCCAAAGAATTTTTTATTGCATGAATCTTCTTGGAAAATGTGTGGTGAAGGTGAAGTACCTCTGAAATTGTGGCATACACATGGCAAAACTAGATTTGAATCAGAAATCAAACTTTAAGAGGACATTTGTAGTGCAGGGTCCTTAGGATCCACCTCAGGAATGANAATCCACAAACATCAGAGGTTTATGTCCAAACAGGAGACTGGGGAGTCCTTTGACTTTATTTGAGTAAAGGTAGAGGCTATGAGGCATTCCCCTGGGATCTCGCCAATTTTTGTGAGGGCACAGCCTCCCTTTTTGTTCTAATTTCCTGGCCGCATTTCCCTTCTCTCTTTCTTCACTGGCTCAGGTATTTGAGAGGTACAGACTCCCCAGTACACCTGACACTAAAGATTTCCCTCTAACGTATAACCCACCCTTTCAATTTTTAAATCTTACACAAATTAGGTGTTTTTCTTCCCCATTGTTTCTTTCACCTTTTGATGTCTAATTTCATTTATCAGCAAACCTAAAGTTTCTTTGTAAATGGAAATCTCTTCTTCCATTCATCAATCAGTGGAATCCTTCCCATTGTTTCTTTTATCTCCCAGTGCTAGTTGTATCTACCAGCAGACCCACAGCATGTTTGTAAAGACAAATCCACCACTGCTCTCACTGGAAAGGGGTTGGGTGATGCACCAGCACAGGGAGGGTGACACTTTAGATATTTATTCATCAGGTGAATTAAGCAGTCCCTCAGCCACAGTCCCAGAGTCCCTCAGTAGTGCAGTGGGAAGATTCAACAGGCTCAGAGCACTGTGTCCATGGTGGGATCATGGCTGTGGTCAGTGTTTTCTTCTGTCTCCTCAAAGACCCTCCTGAGGGAGAGCCGGAGGGACCCCACAGAGCAGGGCCTCCAGCACCTCCCTACCAGGAAGTAGATGAAGGGTTTGATGGTGCTGTGGATGCAGGCAAGCAGGAAAACAATCTGGGAGGACACAATGGTGTAGCCGAGGTACTGCAGTAAATTCCAGAGGCTGAGGGGCAGAGTGAAGAGCACAATGAGGCAGATGACAATGTTGAGTCTCTTGGGTTGCTGCTGATGGGAGCCAGGCTTGACCTTAATGCAGAAGATTGTGCTGGAAATGAGCATGATGGGAGCACAGAGGAGAAGGCTGAAGGCATGCACAGAGATGAGAGACACCCAGCATTGCTCAGATAGCTGGACAAAACACAGAGAAATCATGGTGGCAAAGACAGTGATGAAAGTGATGAGCAGGGCAAGCACCACCCATGACAGGTGTTGAGGACGGCGGCAGCAGAGCCAGAACGAGCAGTGGATGGAGCGGCACCTCAGGATGCTAATGCATGTCAGTGTGTACAGACAAAAGGTGTGTGACACCAGTGGCACCCTGAAAAGAAACCACACATACTGCAAGGGCATGACAGATGACAGAGCAGGACACATTCTCCAGCAGGAAGAGCAGAGCGGAGGGCAACAGAATGAGGAGGAAGAGGAAGTCCAGAAGAGTCAGCACGAGAATGTAAAGGATGGTGCTGTTCCTGGACAAACAGCGGGAGCCAAGGAGCCAGAGCACAGCCCCGTTCCCAGCCAGCCCACAGAGGCAGATGAGCAGTGTCACACTGTGTATGGCCACGCTGGTGGCATCTGTCTCACAGAGATCATCTCCTTCAGTGGGTGAGGCAGGAGATGGGGACACGGTGGTCACCTCCATGGATGGAGGCTGGGCAGGCAGTGGGATGTGGCCCCTGGCTGTGGTCAGAGTGGATGGGCAGTCAGTGCTTGGAGAATCCAGGGATGGACCATGTGGCACCACAGCAGCCCCCTGCAGTGGGAAGGATTCAGTGGGGAGGAGTGAGGTGTGTAGGGGAGGAGGGCAGTGGAAATTGTGGGGTGTGAGAGGGAGGTGGGAGGATTGGGTTGGTGTGCAGGGGTCGATAAATTACAGAGAACAACATTTTCAACCCTCTTGAAGTTGGTTAGAAACCAAATGGGCAAATAGATAAAAATATGTAAAGATGTGGATCCTGGTTGATAAACGTGGCTGGAGCCAGTGCAGAAACACATAAGGAGGTCCACAGTATTTTTAGGGCAAGTTCTGTAACAAGAAGCAACATTGCATGGTTGAAGGAAAAGTTCAAGACAAAGTCACCTTAAATATCACAGCCCTCAGGGAATACAACCACCAGAAGCCCCTCTGAATGAACCTCCAGGATCATAAAAGGACTTCCAGAAGGAGGAGAATGCATGGAAATGAGGTCTAAGAAAATGGTGTTTATGTTCTAGACAAGAAAAACTTTTAATGTATGGTTATAATGAATAAAACCGATGGTTTAAAGTCTCACAACACAAACAGAAATAAGGAGAGATCCTTCTAAATTTCCTGCTGCCCAATACTTCCCT